ATATTATTTTATTTATTTTTAAATTTTTATTAATTACTCACTGAAAGTCTTATTATACACCTAAATTAGCAATTTTTTTGAAAGGATATTTAAAAAAATATAGTAACAAGTAGTCTTGTAAAATATATAAAAAATGTTTATTGCAGAAATTGTATTATTTCTCTGATTATAATTCCCTACGCCACTGAAGGAATCCAATCTGATTGGCATTATTTACAGTTTCAAACATTAATTATAATACAGGCTATTGAAAATACTACTTGGAATGATTAAAAATAGTTTGGTTTGGATGTGGTACAAGACATATTAAAAGCATTTTACATATTTTTACTGATATAATGAAAAAAATGTACATTTTATGACTACATAACAAAAGTTGTGTATCGATATTTACCTGTGAAATGTAATTCCAGCCACTTTTTTCTCGCTTCGGCATTTCCAGTTATACGCTGAACATCTCACCACACATACTAAACAACACAGTTTATAAATTTAAAACAAAACAGTATTCACAAAAAACATATAAATTCGCTTGGTGTCACCTCGAAATCTTGTCATCAAAGTATGGCCGCCGATCAAATTTTGGCCTCAAAAACTTTTCACTGGAGAATATGCGTGTTACCTGTCCCCTCTCTTTCCTTGTCTAAGGCGTCGCACGTGTGTAGTAAAGCATTGTTGCCGCTACTTCTCTGTGATTGTATTATTGCATTTTCTTATTTTGTAGTCCTTAAATGTTTATTTTATTTACTTTTTGTATTCAAGAACTGTAAAATATGGTTCGCCAGTGCCAAATTTGCAAGAAATTTGACTTAAATAATCCATTTGAGTCTTGAAACAACTTTCGATCGTAGGCAACTCTCAATTTACCAATTGGGAGTCAGTGGCGTTGTAGAAAGGCGCTTATTTATATAATATTTCAGTAAAATGTAAAATCTGAATTTTTTCTATTACATAATCATTTATATAAAAGTTTTTGTAACAAAATCATAATTATAACTCTGTTATTATTCTCTTATACTTGTCTGCTATTATAGAAGATAAATTATATTAGGCATCGGTTAAAAAATTAATCATGTTTTTATTAAAAATATATTCCGGTTTATTCTAAAACTATCTTCAGAATCTAAAATAACATACAAGAATTCTAAAATTATATTACATTATGAAACATTATTTTTTAATATACCGGGTGCGTCTCAAAAGTGGCTCACCCCTATGACTTTTTTATTTTTTCAGATAAAAAAAACAGATTTGTATGTTAGTATATGACATAAATTAATTATTTTTAATTATTATTAATAGAATGACATATCATATGTCAACTTTTGGCATTGTCAGTTAAAAACAAATCGTATTTTAAATTTCAAGTCAGGGTGCCATGGCGGTGTTAAAAACACTAAGTTTTGATCAAGGAGCCTTGGAAAAAATAGTTTTGATCGTCTAATGTTGCTCGTGTCTTGTCTAGGCCGGTTAAAAGATATACAAATCGTATTTTTAATCATATGTCAGTTTTTTCAAATGGAACAAGGGTGACTCATTAGTTTATTTCGAAAAAGCATTTTTTTATGAATATATTGATACTTGGTATTTCGAGTCCAATTGTCGTTATGAACCGAGTGTTACAATTTCAATTAAACCATATGAGAAAATGTCAAAAGTTGACATGATATGTCATTCTATTCAGAGTGTCATTTTCTATGGAATAAAGTAGAGATATACCTAGGGTGCTATTTAAAAATCAGAAGTTATAGTCATTTCCGGTGAAACAGGAAGTGACCAAAAACAATTGAATGCGTCAATCAATCCTAATTTATGTCATATACCAAAAACATACCAAATCTTGCTTTTTTACTTGAAAAAATAAAATAATTATGGGGGTGAGCCACTTTTGGGACACAGCCGGTATAATAAAGACAGTAGCGAGTTAAATAAATGTAGTCTTCATTTTATCCAAAAGCTTGCTTTAATGGAACAGATTTATATTTTCTCTAATTTATATAATAAGATATCACTTACAAGGAAAAAAATTACAACAAACATGAAGTTTTTTCTCTTGTCGCCGATTCTCTTATATCTATAGAATAGATCCTGTTTTTATTTTTAGATAATGTTTGATTAAAATTAATAATTTATTATTAATTTCAAAAATTAAATACGGAATTTTTCTTTCTAGAAAAGCTTTCAGTCTTTCATTTATAATTTGCAACATTACTTTACTGGCATGTGAGATGAGGGAAATTGTACGATAGTTGCTGCACTTATGTGTGCTCCCTTTCTTAGGGAGAGTGACAATGGTGGAGTGTGTCGAGTCGTCGGACCATTCTCCTGTGTGCCATATTTTATTACAGATCAGATGAAGCAGTTTAATCCAGGTTTTTTAACGGCTTTTATTATTTATATAACTTATATTCTTATATATTATTCACTGTTATATTCTTCACTGTCCTTGTATAATTCTTCGCAATATGATTTTCACACCTCAATAATGTCTTCTTTTTTTTGTTCTTAGAGTTCCATTTTGATCTTCGATTGCCTAATTTTTGGCTGTAAAGTCCCTTGTAATATATATTTTTTTTGAAGAGGTCTCTTGGTTGGTTATTAAGACTGGGTCCCTCGATTTCTTTGCATACTTTCCAATAGATATTTAAAAACCCTATAACTTTTATATTTAACTTTTTGCGGTACCTCGTATATTTTACCCAATAATTGACCGTTTCCATACATCAGCGACCCTGTATGTATAAGTAAGAAATATATTAATGTGTTTTATTAATGAGGATATATCATATAAATCGATTTCAATATGCTGATTTTAACTGTATACTTGTTGTTTTAACTTCATATGAAATTAATCATGAAATTATGAATTTTTACCATAATTGCAAAAAGAAAAAAGTCTTTCGTAGTATTACTTATTTAAAGAGAAATATAGACTGCCTTGATCAATGAACTCTATTAATTTTTTATAAGATTTTATTTTAAGAATTAATTAATAGATTTGCTTTTGTTATTCCAAATGAAATAGATCAATTATTTGTAGCATTTTTTTGTTACCAATTTAATTTCAAATAGCATGGATAATTCGAAATAATGTATTACATCAAAGTACGCCAAAATTTTTAACATTATTGAAATTGTAAAATTAATATACCGGGTGTTGCATCGTCGGACGGGACATAGGAAATCCCATGTAAATTTTAATGGGGTCAATTATTGGCTTCCCTAATTTTAGAGAATAATTCTATTGAGGTTTATTGAAGAGCACTAAAGCCCACATTCAAAAGAATAACTTTATATATTTTTGATTACCTCGTTTACGAGTTATCGCCGATTTCTTTTTAAATATTTCTCTTTTCTTATGGCCCTGTATTTACTTATGAGCACCAGTCAAGGTAAAAAATAACTGTCAAATTAAGTTGTCATTTCAGAAATTTACCTATTTAGTGCTTTATTATTATTGAAAACTCATTCCTGCATCGGAAATCTTAATACAAATTAATATGAATTAAAGTAAAATAAATTAATCAATTACAAGGTTAATTATAGTATTATTACAATATTCAATAACTTGTTAATTTAGGTACTATTAAATTGTTAGAACTTTAGGATTTAAGAAGATGTTCAAATATTCCTCCATCGACGGCTAGACAATAACCCAGGCGATCATAAAATTATCTTCTTACATTCGCTAGTTGGTAAACTGAAATTCTATTGCATTCGGCAGAAATAGCATTTTTTAACTCGTCTAGATTTGGGTATTTTTTATCCTTGTATATCCTGTTTTTTAAATGGCCCAGAGAAAGAAATCATTTGGCGAAATATCAGGAGACCTTGCTGGCCAATTTACTGTATGATTTAGGCCAATAACGTTTCCGTTAAAACTATTGTCTAAATATTCCCGAACAGCCAGGGTACTATGTGCCGGGTAGTCATCCTTTTGGTACCAAACTTCCTGATTTTCACTAGCGTCATCATGTAAAGCAGGTAAAATATGATTTTCGAGTAGTTCCAAATAATATTCTGCAGTTAAATTTCGCGTAAGAAATAATGGCCCGATAATATTGTGTCCGAATATCCCTGCCCAAACATTTACTTTCTGTGGATATTGCGTCCTTGTTTCGATAAACCTGTGTTGGTTTTCTTTGTTCCAATATCGATAATTTTGAACATTGGGTTCATTATTTAAGGTAAACGTGCATTCGTTAGTGAAACATATGTTTTTTAAAAATTCCCTATCCGTGTTTGCTCTTTCCATCATATCAAAACAAAAGGCCTGCCGCCGTATTTCGTCCCCATCTCGTAACTCTTGGTGCTTTTCATATTTGAAGGAATAGTATTTATGTCGTTTCAAAATTCGAAATGCTGTAGTCTGATCTATTCCTATCTCATCCTCAAGTTTCCTTTTGCTGATCTTTCCATCGTTCTCTTCCACGTACAATAAAACTTCCCAGTCGGTATCATTTATACACATAGGGTACCTTTGGTCTCAAATCTCTGGATATTCCTTGCGATTGTAGATTTTCCAAGTATCGGTCTATTTGGATACAGAGCAGCAAACATGTCCGACACCTTTTCATAACTATTTCCTTGATAATATCATTTAATCATCAATACTTGTTCTTCGGTAGTGTAATTCATGGCAAATATTTTCGATATAGATAAGAGTTTTTAATAATAATAATAATAAAGCACTAAATAGATACATTTCTGAAATGACAACTTCATTTGACAGTTATCTTTTACCTTGACTGGTGCTCATAAGTAAATACAGAGCCATAAGAAAGGAGAAATATTTAAAAAGAAATCGGCGATAACTCGTAAACGGGCTAATCAAAAATATCTAAAGTTATTCTTTTGAATATGGGTTTTAGTGCTCTTCAATAAACCTAAATAGAATTATTCTCTAAAATAATTAGGGAAGCCAATAATTGACCCCATTAAAATTTACATGGGATTTCCTATGTCCCGCTCGACGATGCAACACCCGGTATTTTGTGAAGTCGTTTGTCAGGGAAAATCAATACAGATGACAAACAATTCCCACAAACAAGAGTAGTAACAATCTTTTAGCAAGATTTTATTCTTTTATTAATTTAATACTTATAAATACAGTATAATATGTGCTATTTAAACGTAGAATTGAAGAAGAATTTTATTAATCAAGAATGTGAGTGAATATAAGTTCGTCGAAAATGCACCCTTGCCGGATTAAAAGAAGAAATCTCAATTTCTAACCACCACGAAAAACTGTGAATGTGTGCCGTCGACGACAACCGGATGGGAATATAGCAGAGAGAACCTTATCGAAAGAATGTCAGAAGCAAGTGCGCTGTTTTTGCTCGGCGTAATTCTGTTATCGGTTTTTATCGGAGCTCAAGAGGAACAGGCAGAAGAAATCCTACCGTCGCAGGATGGATATTACCTTGATACGCTTAATGAAGTCGCTCAGGCGGCGGGGTGAGTAACATTATTGATTTAATTATAACCTGAGAGCATCGTAATGAGATATCGATGGCCCTTAAATAACACGGTCTGGAATATGATAATCCTGGCTAATTAATTGCTTTTTGTTTTGAGTTAATCAAATTGAGAATATAAGTATAAAACCCTATCTGCCAAAATAATACGAATAATAAATGGCCAAAAATTGTATAAAGAAAAGTGGTCTTATTGATACCGGAGTTTGTGGATCATATTAAGTGACGTAGCGAGGAAGTCGCGGGCCCGTGTTCAAAAATTTTTGGGCCCCTTGCCCCCACAATATTTTTATTAATATTTTAATAAAAAGAGAAACATTTTATATTATTATAAAATATATTTTTCTAAAAGAAAACCAGTTGCTATAGTTCTAATATAAAGCATAAAATAGGTAAAAAAATAAATAATTATTAAATACAAACATTATTTTGGAAATCTTCTGATATGTCTCCAAGATATTTGTTCTAAATACGGAGGTTCTGAAGCATCTTTGCTACCTATTCTAATTCTGGATCGAAATAGTTGGAAAGTACAGATTTCTCTAAAATTTTAAAGTCACATTGAATTAACTTATACCCATATTTTTGTAAAATGTATTAAATCGAAAAAATCTTCGACTGTTTCGAGGACATTTTGACTATTTTTCATTTGCATAGTTTTTCAGACATTTGGGAGAGATTTAAAATAGTACTTTCTAAAAATATTATTTTGTACATTTCTAATGTTTTAATAGATTTGTCTTCATCAACTTCTGTTTTCTAATTGGATGTTAATATTATGTTCAACGGTTCCTGTACATCGACGTCCCTAGATTTTGAAGCCAACAGAGCAACGTTCCTAGATAACCAATGCGTAGGGTTTAATCTTTTTAATGTTCTATATTATCTAGATCTAGGTTTTAAACATCTCTTTTCAAGTATCTTCCATGTACTCGTACACTGAGCAAAATTCACATAAATTTGTTCCACAACGCACATTTGCGACCAAATTGAGATTTAAAGCAGCACGGTTTTTTTATGTGGTAAGAAGTAAGGAAATGAACAAAAATAAAGTTTCATAAACCAAAATGAAGTTTCAAAAATAAAAGAGTAATGTTCATTAATTAGAATAATGAGAAAATAAGCATATGTGTAGTTGTAGCAAATTTCTACTCTTTGGTTGTAGGTTGTATTTTAAAGTACACAAATTTGTTCAATATGGCCCTATTCTCAGAAGAATCCCTGACTAGTCAGCGCGTTTCTTATTGGTTGAAATGTGTAGAAACCAAACTAACAATCAGGTTTCTACGCATTTTAACCAATGAGAAACGTGCTGACTAGTCGGGGATTCTTCTGAGAACAGACCTTATGAATTTGTAAGGCATGCGGACCCGGGCGCGTGTACCGTCGAACACGGATAGTTACGTCAGTGATCATGTTATACCCCGCTGGCAAGCAAACCGTTGGGTCGGCGTTTACATGTATAGGAGTGAGTCGTTATGGCAATCTAGTAAGTCGGATTGAGCAAAAATATGAAGTAATTATTACAAAACTGCTTAATCTGACGCTAGATTCGATGCGCTTGGGAAAATACTCGCCTTCTGTCTTTATTCAGTACATCTTAATTTAGTAAGCGTGTTGACCGTATTACTCTTCGTACACATGAAAACCGGCAGCCAAGACCAGAAATACCGACCCTTAGTATACTTATGTGGATATATCAACGCCATAAGATTAGCATTAGACAGGGTGTCTCCTTCATCACAACAGGCTAAATGGAAATCCTATATTGGAAATACGTTCAATTTTGTAATACGCATGCGCAAAGTAATTCCCTCGTAAAGGTCACATTTATTGCAATTATGAAACGTTCAATAGATCTGATCTTTCCGAGGACCTTACTATGCGCATTAAAAAATTGAACGTATTTCCAATATAATGACTAGTAGTGATGTTAATATTTCAGAAATTTTTGATTGTTGCAGGAAATTTCCGAAACTTTCGGAAATTTATGAAATTTTAGGAAATTTTACAATTTTACATATTTTTTGTTGATACAATAAAGGAATAAATTAGATAGACATTTGATACCAACATGTAAGTGGAAAAAAACGATAAACATAATATTAGTTGTTATACTTTTAATAAACAATACATAACTCATAAAAGTCATAAACATAACACATAGCAAAAATCATTTGGTAACATTTGTACTTTGTACATAAACCATGAACTATGATTATGAACTTAAAAAAATAAAAAAGCACGAAATATAAATTTAAAAAAAAGTAAGTAAGTAAGTTAAATATAAATAACTGAATTATACTATTCCGAAATACTTTCAGACGCCGAGCTGGTCCCATCTTCATAGGTTATTATAGTAGTAGTAGTACTGTCTTCGTCAGTTTCTATTTCCAAATCAGATATATTTGATGTATCATCTAGTTCTGATTTCTGATTCTGAAGGATGGATCTCTACCTCTACGGGTTCTAGTGGTTCTGGAGGAGTTTCATGTTGTTGAATATCATGCTCCATATCCACCTTTTGTTTTTGTAGTAGTAATTTATTGCTATGAGCTACGAACATTATTTTACCGGCTCTGTGTGCAGTTAAGCGATTCCTTTTTTAGTATGGATAAAACAGTAAGTACTGAAACTTCTCTCAGTGGCTGCAGATGACGTTGGTAAAGACAGCAGAGCAACAGCTAAATATTTCAACTGAGTATTTTTAGACATTGCTTGCCACCAACTTAGACAGTTTACATTTTTAACTGACATCCAAAAGTAGTCCAGAGCCCATAAACCCGATTTGGCACAATAATTTATTACATCTGTAAAAATGGCTTCTTTATTATTGACAAACTGAGGATGTTTGTTGGTGATATTTAATTTAGTTATGTAAGAATAGGCATACTTGATACACTTTCGTTAAATTTTTGTTCAATGTCTTGAATTTTGAAAAGAAATTTCTTACAAAATTCGGATTTTTGCGAATATTCGCGATTTTGGGACCAAACATTACGGAAATTTCTGAAATTTCCTGCAAAATTCGAATGGAAATATTCGCTACCAACATCACTAATCACAAGTGTTGTGCAGTGCACAATATCGTATTAATTTTGTACAAAATATTGGAAAATTCATTTGAAAACATTTTACCAATTTTATATTTTATTCATTTGAGTTGGAGTGTTTAATATTGGTTAGAATGTTCAGGAGAGGGGGGGGGGGTTAATCACCGCGACCTTACAGATCTATTGTGTGTTCCACTTTCATGAGTTATAACGGATTCGTTATAACTCAAAACTGCTTTTTTGAGTTATAAAGAGGTGCCACTTTCTTGAGTTATAACGAATCCGTTATAACTCATGAAAGTGGAACACACAATAGATCTGTAAGGTCGCGGTGATTAACGCCCACTTTCTTGAGTTATAACGAAGCTATATAACTCAAGAAAGTGGAACACACAATAGATCTGTAACGTCGCGGTGATTAACCCTTCCCCCTCCTGAACATTCTAACCAATATTAAACACTCCAACTCAAATGAATAAAATATAAAATTGGTAAAATGTTTTCAAATGAATTTTCCAATATTTTGTACAAAGACTGTACTGATTGTACTGAGACTGTATGATTATACAGTCTCAGGCTTTAACAAAAGCCAATATCTGAGACAACTTCACAGAGGCCAGCTCTCCATCTTCGACATCAGTCGTATCAAAGTATATGGTACCAATGGTTGTCATCTCGGCGCACTCAGTGACAAGGTGTTTTGGTATTTCTCCATTTTCCCCACAGAATCTGCATTTGCCGTTGTCGTTGTTTCTATGCTTCAATCTTCTGAGGTATGCGGTGAAGAGCCAGTGTCCTGTTAGAAACCCCTTGATAATCTGAAGATTGCTTTTACTTAAACCAAGGAAAATCTCTCGGTCGTAAGTTCTGAGGAACTTTTTCGAGTGTCTTAGACCATTGGGGGATTCCCATTCCTGGTTATGGATGGGGTCTTCCAGGTTTTTCAGTTCCGCTTCAAGTTGATTTCCGGTCCGCAAGCGTTTCTCCCTTACAATCGTTTTTCAGTATCTCTGAAACTAAGCATTTTAGGACATACATCTATAAGAGCGTTTTTACTTATTTTCATCTGTAGAATATGCTACGGAGGTTTCCCGAATACAACTCGGACTATCCTGTATACATAAATAAAGAGAAATAATTAGAAATAGAGGAATAAAGCTAAATCGAAAAATCTGATGGAATAATATTAAGTGCAAGTGTGTATTTTTTTACTTTGTAAGCTATATAATTTTTATATAGTTTCATAATTTGATTGGCGCTTTCCGCGATAGTATCTATAATAAATTTTAGGCGTCCAGGACAACTTACCTAAATCTGGAATTTTTCATCTAACAGCCCTAGACTCTTTTTTAAAAAGTAGTAGTAATAGATAGTAATCCGTTTTTTTCTCAAAAACAGGCATTATAATATGTATTTCGAGGATCACGTGCTCATACATCCGTTATTGAGAAACCACCACTTACTCAATTCAAAACATATTTTCAACTAAAATTGGATTGTTGAAAAAATTGTTTATTCGGCTGAGGAATCAGATATTAGGAAATTCTGTTTAAAAATACAACATACGTTAAGTATGTTTTTGCTCGGAGTAATTCTGTAATCAGTTTTATCGAAGAGGCACATGCAAAAGAAATATTGCCGTCATAAGAACGGTATTACCTTGATACGTTTAATGAAATCGCTCAGGCGTCCGTCGAGATGAGTAAGATTATTGATGTAATTATACGCTAAGAGCGTGGTAATGAAATATCGAAGGCTTGGTAATCCTTGCTTGGAAATTGCTTTTTGTTTTGAGTTAATCAAACTGAGGATCTAAGTATAACATTTAATAGGAAACTAATTTTTTTTCGGGTTCTTACAATAATACCCAATTGATATCCACACAATACATATAGAACGAATTAGCCGCCACTGGAAGATACTAATA